AAGATACAAATCGCTTACTGTAAAAATTCCTGTTAGAATTGCCACTCCAAATTCTAATGTGAAAGACTGAACACATAAAAAATTATAATTATAAAATGTCATTTTGGTTTTCTGTTGTAAAATTACGTTAACGAAATAATAGTTAAAATAAATTGTGATGTGTGCCTAAAGTTTTTATTATAATATTACTAAGTATCGTCACTACGGTGACTGGTTCATAAAAATCACGAATTATGTTGTAATTACGATGATATCTAAATAACAATTTTATCAATGAACCAAATGATAAAKGTCGTTTCACAGAGGTCTGTTGCCTGTGGCAATGGCTGACGAATTTTTGGGTCCCCGGACGTGATGAAGTGGTTTTTACGCGCATAATATTGTACGTTAAGCTCATTGCCATCATACTACGTTAGTGCACTATATATCCACGATTTTCAGTGCCTATAATATTATAATAGATATTTGCGAGGATTTTTACACGTTCAAAGTCATCGTGACACACGGCCGTAATAATAAAAATGATATGTTTACAGGTTTTCATTGCTACAGTCAACGAGCCGCGGTCGACTTATGACATTATTATTATTATTATTATTATTGTGCCCGTACTCACCTATAAATGTACAAGCATAACAATTATTTGTGTCTGACCGCCTGTGTATGTTTGTATGTCTATTATTAAATCGTGACCTACCATAATAATATTGTACTATTGTAACTAAATATATAAAAATATATTATTATGTATTGTACATGGGTATACCTATATCAATATAAGTGARCAATAATTTCACCAATTTAATGAACTGATATTTTAGACTATATTCTGGAATTGTATTATTTTATTGATTGTTATTTAYTCGTAATGAAATGTCGAAATCTTACACAAATACAAATCACTTTAAATAACGTAATATTTTGATTGCACTAGATTTCTCTTTTTAAATTATGTATCCCCCTTTTATTTTATGCTCACCGAACACTATTGTCTTTTTAAGAAATTGATTTAATTATACATTATACTAGACAACAAATTGTCTGCCTATTGTAATGTTTAACCTCTACAAAATATTATTCGAAAATACAAGAAATATTTCAACTATTTTAAAAGTAAAATTCTTAAAACCCAAACAACAATAACAATGTAAATAATATTAAGTTTTATACCAATAATAATAATATATAATCCATATTAATCCTACTTTCTTAAAATTATCTGTCTTAAAATCATCCAAGATTAAATAATATGCCCGATCTCACACGTGTTGTATAACACGAACTGAATCAATAATATGCTGATATATATTTTGTATTACATTTTTTTTTTTTGTTATTTCCATATTTATTTTGTTGTATTCATTTAACTGTTAAGGGATTAATAGATTATTATATCTATGAATCTCATCATCATCAGTCAAAGTATTTTATTGTATAAAATAAAATAATATGTACAATATTATCTACAATACTCAAAAATCAAAATCGTGTATATAAATAAATTATTACAGTTGAAGAAAAAATTGGAAATATTTTAATGTCTATTATTTAATGTTTTCGTATACAAACTTACACAATTTAACAATATGTAAAATTTTCTATGGTCTATGCATATAGAAATGATTATTTCCTGAAATATTTTATTACAAATTCGAGTGGTTTCAATTGTTTGCAATTCGTACAATCGTACTACCTATTTGTTTTAATTCAACGACCTTTCACCGAAATTAAATAATTATTTTATGCTCAACGTGTAGTCTACTAGTTACTGTTCGTAGTAAGTATCAAATCTAATGAGTTTTTAATTCGTAATTATGGTAGTGTACTTTAAGTATCCGAACTCTAAAGCAGTACACTTCCTATTTCCTTATCCAACTCATCGGAGAAATTATATCAACCTGGCTACTTTCTGAACGGGTAGACCATGAAAAGTATGTGTAATGATTTAAATTTGTTAACTAATAAAATGTAAAATCAGTTAAAACAGTTAGATGATAAAAATGTAACTACAAAGTATGGTCGTTAATAAATGTTATGGGTGTAAACATATAATTGCCGTTTACATAATAATTGTGCTTAAAACCAGAAATGTGATCAACAACAATATAATCATAAATAACTAAAAAGTATACATTTATATACTTATGTTATGGTGTATTAAAGTGGTACTCTGCACGTGGCCAYGTTAACAAAGTTTATTGTAAATCATGTTTTTGAGTAAACAGGTAGGCAATAACTTTGTAAATAAACTGTAGACTACAATGGGCATAGACTTAAGTGCAACTATGTGGTTACTTAGAGGGCAAATCCCCTAAAATATTTAAATGCTATCCCCCTCAATATATACACCTATTAGATAATAATATAGCCACAACAAAAAAGTTTTCTTCAAATTGACTTAAATTAGCTGAGAAAGTACACACTTCAAGGCTGTTTCTTAAATTTGCCTTTCTATCTTTCACATTGAATGAGATTTGGTCAATATAATTTTAAAACTATATAATTCATTGAAAATGTTGGAAATATAATAGATATGATTAAAAACATATATTAAAATTTGTATTAAAATAAAATGTATTGATTGAAATGCATATAATATAACCTATATAGGACATTATATAAGACGTGTTAAAACACAAATTTAATATAAATTTATAGGTATTTTATAACAATAATTAAGTCACACCTATAACTATGGGTATTAATAGTAATATAATAATATTGATGTAAGTAGCCAAGTAGGTATACCTATCCTTTATCCCGTTACATAAGTATGCGAAATTTAGCAGTCGAGTTTGAGAAATATAATATATAATAATAATAAAACTGTTAAAACCTTAAGATTTCTCCGAAATTTTTACGAACCGGCTCTGGTAGACATTTCTATGAGAAATTGTCAGGAATTTATTTCCACAATAAACGTAATAATAATGTGAAATACAGACAGATATAGCCGATCACACGCACATGTTTGCGAGTGCGTAGTGGACACTTAAATGTTATATTATTGTTACGTAATGGCATTTATATCAGATCAAACGAATACGTATAAAATAAAGCTGTGGACATTAAGTTTATATACAAAGTAATCTATTTAACGGATTACGCTTAATTACTTATTTTGAATGCAAATTTAATGTTTTTATACAATTTTGACTATAGCTATTCAAAGTAGGTAGTTATAAACTAGGTAATGTAAATATCAACTACTATTAACTGCTAAAACACGGCAAGAGGTACTTTATTGAAGTTGTAAATTTTAAAGGCTATTATTAGTAATAAAAAACACAATGTTTTTCAATATCTGTGATTTTCAAAAGTCGCCTCATTCTGAGCATGAAACATTAAAGCTACCCATAGGCTGTCGTTGAAAAAATTCAAATTATTATCAGTACTTATACCAGTTATACCTAGTAAAAATGTATTTATTTTTTTTTAAATGTTAATAGTGTTGTCCATTATTACTAATAATCATATRTAACTATAATATAAGTAATAAGTATATTTCTATTTTTGACAAAAAAAAAACTATTTTTCTGGTTTTCCAAAATTCCAAAATCTTCATAGAAAAATAAATATGTATATATCCAGTTGGAGGCATCGCGGAAATAATGTTATATCGCAGTTTCCGCAGTGCCATTGGTTCAAAAATAAAAAATAAATGGATTATGCCATATCCTATAGATAATATTTTTATATAGACTCATAACAATTTATGCTTGTGTATAGTTTTTGACAAAACAAAACGATTCGCGCAGTGACATCGAAAGTGAAACTTTTTACCGTACCTTCTCCCGTTTTTTTCTCCGCGAGCATACCTACACTGCAGCTAGTAATATAATATACAATATATACCTTATATAAAATATATTTTATAAATCTACCTAATATATCATGTATATATATATATTATATTATATTATAATTTATAATATATCACCCGATATTGGGCATGTGACATAGTACGGTCCATCCGGCATCCATTTATAATATGTATAATGTATATGCACCAAATTATCCGAATTTAATCGATCTAGAGATAATATTGTATTATTGTTATTATTATTGCTCTTATTCTTTCTGTTTCCATTATGTACCTACGGTCCATTTACGTCGAGTAATTATTCATTTTAATATGTAGAACCTACGTCGAATCAAACGGATTACAGAATGACATTAGATTATTTTTACTTTTTTTTTTTAGCGTGTTGGTCCTTTAATCCGAGTACGAATTGTATGCAGAACATTCCGATTACGAATTTCCATCGTCAGCGGTGCGAAGGCAATACGTACGTCACAGCAACATCGGAGAGATTCTAAATAGTGACAACGGCCAAAGACACGGCATGTCACCGCAGTGGTTAGAAATCCAAAATATTCGGATGATAATTGGCAAAATTAGCATCACCGTTTTCCGTTAAGACGTTGCAATAATAGCTTCTCTCTAGTCTCTACCTATCTATTACCGATATATACCGTATTAATCTGGTATTGACTAAATAAAATTAAAATAAACTGTAAAATGAGGTTTTTGTGCTGTTTTACGGAATGCGTGACTATTTATTTATTCAAACGCATAACCTTACGTGGAGGTCGGAGAACAAAATCAGTGGCATCTAGCCATGAATTTAGACGTGGTAATAATAAATTGGATAAWAAAAAAACCGGACTGCAGGATACAAGCATATCGGGTTGGACACTGATCTTCCTTGGACTCGCTCATAACCACGAGATAGGGTATACTATAATAATTGAAACATTGAAAGCTGCACTGTTACTAATCATCAAATAATAATTCGAATGCTTAAATATATTGAAAACATTGAATTAAATCGAATTGTGAAATTGGTAACATAGGTGTAGGTAATAATAATATTACACACTTCATGATATRGCGTTGTATGGTGTAACAACTAATAACTTACTATAATAGGTAACAAGACGTCTTATTAAGCAATATGATGAACTAAGTGTATTTTATTCATGTAGGTGAATAATAATATATTTAYAATATGAACATGAATATTATAATTTACTTAGTATAATTTTAAAATACTACTTTTCAAATAAAAAAATTCAAATTATAATCCTATAAATTTAAG